GGTTTTAGGTCAGACTCTGGCTCTGGATCTGACTCTGGTTTTAGGTCAGACTCTGGCTCTGGATCTGACTCTGGTTTTAGGTCAGACTCTGGCTCTGGATCTGACTCTGGTTTTAGGTCAGACTCTGGCTCCAACGTGTTGGATGGACAAGTCTTCTCTTGCTGACATCTTTATATTAAACTGTAAATAAAACATTTCTGCAAGCCAGAAAACYRAWTCCCCCTTCTCTTAGACATTGTGTGGACAAGTATGGAAGCCAGAGGGGGGCGGGGCTTGCAGCATCTTAAAGGAACAGCAACAAAACTAGATGCTATGAGAGACACACCGGAAAAGCAGGAATTGAAACCAAAGCTTGTAGTTCCACTTTATAAAGAGCCCAAATGAACACCAATCCAAAATGATTTAAATGTGAAAATGAAAGATTTAAAAGCATCATATGTCTACTTTAAGAGATATATATTAAATGTTTATTTCCAGAAAGTTTTAATGAGCTCTGTCTTAGTGGTTCATTTAATATTTTACTAACAGGGTTGACTTCAAACAATCTGATTACCACCATAATATATCTATAATGTACGTATATAACAGTGGTGTGCCGTCAGGACCAGCAAAGCCTTCTCTGCTGGCCTAAATACTATCAGAATCACTACATTTGTGTTTTTAAGCTCAGTTGGCAGTGGCAGACATCTTGGATCATGCTGACTTTCAATCCTTAATATGTTGAAAATCTACCTTCAGTGTTATTATTTGCAAGTTTCATTAATTTCTCCTGTGGTTCATGAGACATTTGATAACAAACAGACACAGGGAGTCTATTCCTGTCTAAAGTGTATTTAATGCTTCGCAGAATTTGAACATCTTGTTGTCTTTGGCAGTATTGCTGCTTCTTTTTTTTTCTGACCGAACTCTTCTTTGTGCTTTTCCTCCTACATCTCTGCTCTCAGCTCCGGTGTTCGACTATGAAGACATTCCCTCTCCGCTGAGCGAGTCAGAGAGTACCATCACGGTTCTGCTTCGCCCTGCCCTGGGGAGAGGAGCTCCTGTCAGGTACAACTAAAATATGCTCCACACCTCTGCTGGCACTCATTCAGTGCTCCTCCACGCTCTGATATTTATAGCTTATAGCTGCAGTCAAAAGGAGCTCTGCGGAGTATCAGCAACCAGTTTGTTCAGCTTGTAGCACAGCAAAAGGTAGGAAAAATATCCAAAAAGTATTATGTCATGCTAATCCAAGTGGCAAGTTTTCAAAGTTACAGGATTTATGCAGCAAATATATACGGTCATGGTGAAGAGAAAGCACACCACTGTATATATCAGGATGACATAAAAATAACCTGGTCCCTAAAGGCCTGAATATACAGACCCAGATGAACAGCAACACATATAAAATGTCACAAAGAGTCATTATTTCACTAAAACTAAGCCGATAAGATCTACAGTCAAAGTATTGCTTGGAGAATAAACTTTAGCAGCAATAACTCTTAGTAGGCTTTATCAGTCAGACAGCTAGATGTGTTTAGAATAAAAAGTACTGAGCACCTAGTTTCAAAATACATTGGGCCTCATGCAAGAACCATTGGTACGCACAGATTTGTTCTTCAGTTGTGCGTACGAGTGATTTAGGAG